TTGTATAAAATGTTTATTGGTTATAAATGCATAGTTTTTGTCAGCAAGTATGGTATAATACTTATCAAAACAATCTAGAGCTTTTATTAATTAATCTTGTCAAAAGGTGAGGCCATAAATGCATAGGTTTTCTCAACAAGTATGGTATAATGCTTATCACAACAATCTAGAGCTTTTGTTAATTAATCTTGTCAAAAAGTGTGGATAAAAACAGGCTATGAAAACATGTTCACTAATTGACATTCAATGCTGTGTTTAGTTAAAGGAAATGTTGAGGCTCGAGTGTATGAGCATTTCAGGCTATAAAAACATATTCAATAATTGACCATCACCTATCGAGATTCAAAAATGTAATTTTGAACGATTCTAATATCTACAGTCATTTTGACTTAAATTTCGGTAGCAGATTTTGTCTAATCATACATTCTCGTCTCCAACTTGAATGTAGTGATCTTAATGCGCACAAGTATGAAAGATTTATATCTCCAACATCATCTTGCTCTTGTGGCCATAACTATGAAGACTCTGCTCACTATTTCTTTTCATGTACTCTTTACAACAATATACGTCAAATTATGTATTTTTATACTAAAGGATTTGACCTAAAATCAATTTTTGTTTGGAAACCAACGCTGCTCCTCAATAGTAAACAAAGAACTTTTAATTTCAGTGCACTCTTTTATAAATTTAACAGGCAGATTTGATCCAAAATATTTTGTTTATATGACATATACCGTTTAACAATGATTGGCGTTATTTCTCGTTTTGGCAACATTTATATATCATTCACATTGTACATTCATCATGACGAGTTTATTCTTCCTTCCATTGTATCCCAGAGCGGTATTCATATAAGCTTATGCTTGTTTACCAATCCGGTTCCTTTCTTTGGAAATAAATATGTTTAAATAATAAATATTATACCATACTTGTTATGATTACATAATGCCATTTGTTGACCAAAAACTATTTATAGCCAATAAACATATTATACAAACCTTTCATTTTACTCTTGTAATTCTTTACCAAATAATTGGTATTACAGTGTTGGGCCCAGTGTTGTCTATACATACATGAATATTACTTTTGGTCTTATCAGTTTACTAATAGAAAATTTATCAGAAATATCACTATATAATATTATATATAGAATATAATATGGAAGTTGACAAAAACTATGCATTTGTGGCATATAGTTAACCAATTTAAATACATTGGCATTTTGACTACCCCCTTGGGGCAATTTGACCAAACCTGGGGCGATTTGACCAAAAACCTGGGGCATTTTGACCAAATTGGCTGGGGCGTTTTGTAGCTGGGGCGATTTGACTGGCACCCATTAAGATTACCGTGTGTATTTGTCTCCCATACAGAGTCAGAAATAGCAATCAGCTGTGCACATGTCCCCCGTGATTTACCCGTGATTTTCGAGATGAATTCTGATGCAGTGTGTAAACTGTTATTTTATCAAGAAAAACTTATTCTAGCATTGTGTAATTCTAATTGCAGGTTTTGCTCCATCAATGTCAAATATTTATAATCATAACTAATGTTATGTGACAGCACTTCGATGTATTGTTCATGCTGTTACCCCATTCTCAAGTATACCCTTGGTGTGCCAGACTATTTTTAGTTTGACATGAGGTTGTGATGCTTTCGACCAATCATCAAGCTAAAGAAAGTATGAATGTCGCCAAGCTGCTTAATATGCAACACCTGACTGGCTGAAGTAAACCTACGGACTATACTGTATACTGTAAAACGAGAAATTTTCCCGCCTATAAAGATTTGCAACTTTGATACCTCATCCGAATCTGCGACGTGTTATTTTTACGAGAGGCACACATCTATGCAAAAATAACATTGTTCAGCTCAGCTCAGCTCAACAAAGCCGACCAAGGGGATTAAAGCAGATCAAAGAGACTAGATTAAAACAATCTCTAATTAAGCCACCTAATGCTAGAAGTCTCAATGAGATGAACTCAAACTGCCACTACGCCAGAAATCACTTGTCATCTTTGATGTTTTCGCTGCGCAACTTGAGTCATTCCTCAAGTTGTTAAAACAACGTAACTTCCTGGTCAAGTTCGTCCCGGCTGGCTGCACCGGCGAGCTACAATCGATGGACTTGTCAGTGAATGCCGAGTTCAAGACAGCCAGGAAAGCTCAGTTCACGCAGTGGTACGCTGACAGCGTGACAAAGAACTTGAAGGACAAGACTGACAAACATGTTCATTTAAGGATTAGTATAATGAAGCCGATCCATGCTCGATGGGTAGTGTCCAGCTATGACCAAGTGAAGAAAAACAAAGAGACTGTTGTGCATGGCTGGCGAGCATCCGGGCTCCTTGACAAAATGTCTGCAGGCAAGTGACTGAGTGAATTGTTGAGAAGACAGTGTTGATAATGTTCTAATAAAGGATAGTGCTTAGAAACAATATGTTTTAAGTATGCTGCATTGTTTTTAAATATGATATATTATGGTATAATATGGAATAAAGATTTAAAAAAACGCGAAAAATTCGTTGCCGTTTCTGCGTCTTAAAATGTTTGCGAGGTCAGGACAAGCGCAAAATTCGTAAAAATATCCTGCTCACAAAATGTTCTCGTTTTACAGTATTCATATATGCAAAACCGAAAATAGATATAGGTCAAGTAACCTCTTTGGGTATTTGTCAGGAAAAGAGAGAGAATGATGAAACTGGTTTGGTTTAACAAACGGAAGAGTTTATCAACATGATTCACGGTCTTGTTTATATATTGACCAAAGTCACTTTTGATTTGCGATATGTATTTCAGCGTTTGAAATACCTGCCTGCCCGACCTCCCGGGATGGGTTAATTTCAACACGGACTGCCAGATTCTCAAATTCACCTGCCCGACGGTCGGGTTAAAATTTAGACATGTATATGAAGATATTCATCATATTTCAGGATAATAAATCCTTATTAATTCACTCGTACAAATAAATGACAAATTCCAATTCGATGATAAACTACGTCGCTTGTCAAACCTAAATTATTTGCGGGCAGGTAAGTTTTGGTCAGGGCGGGCAAGTTTAACATCTAATCAGCCCTATGGTCTGGCTGAAATTTTTGGGAGTTTCAAACCCTTTGTATATGCGTCCACACATGTTATGCTGGTGCGTGAGTTGACACAATATGATAGGTACATGGTCATTTATAATTATATTGCGTGACAGGACGGGCGTCGATGTTCATGTTTTGAGGGAGATGTAAGCGGGGAATAATGCAATCACGCAGTCTGGATGCAACACCGCGAGATGCTAAAAAAGTTGTCCTTTATTAAAAAATTAAATGCTATTATGAATGTTTAAACGCATTTAGCATCTGTTAATTTCAACCCTTGCAGTTTATTTATTGATAAACATGACTAGTGAATATGTAAGCAAGGACGCAATATTTGTGCGTCCTTTCAAATTATTCGCAAGGCGACGGGAAGATTTGCCTGTCAACTAGAAGTTAATGGATTACGGATCAAAATGAGCTTAAGAAATAGCATTAAAGGTCACATGCAACGTAAAACACAACTTTGCAGATTCTGATACCTTTCGGTATGGACTTACCGAAACAAAGCGTCAAAAATGCAAATTCAACTTATAAAGTTGAAAAGTAACGCGATGAAAAAACGCGGCGAAATTGGAGTTCAAACGTTTCACTAATTTTCCCCAGACTTTTCTGGGGAATACGGGTTTCAACAGCTGGGCTGCGCTCATAGCACGTGCGCAGTGAAATAGGTTCAGCGAAACTTGGAAGCAGGCTGTCTGGTGAATACCGGGGTGAAGGCTTTGGTGTGAGCTATTTTTTCATAATGTTTTGTTGATATCTCTGAAGTAGGCGAAGCTTTTTATATGTTATGACAGTAAATAAACTGTTTATATAATTTCATTTGTCTATTTCACCACACATTCTTCTTACCGAGTCACTTTCCGGTTCGATACTTAAAAGCAATGTCATTATTTAGCGTTGACAGAATTTCTAACTGTGATATAGATATGTCGCTGTCACAGACAAAACTCGATGTCTGTTTTATTGACAGCTGTGTGTCTGCCTGCCTGTCTGTTAATGACAATATTCAATACACAACTGCGATCACTGACCACATGCAATTTGAACTTAACACCAATCAGGCTATACACCATAAACAAAACAAATTGATTTATGGCCCGAGTTCGGTCTCTGTCACATTATGTAATTACACAGACAGGCAGGTGTGAGACTTGAACACATGACATGTTATGATGTCTGTTGATTGCAAAATGTTATACACAAAAAATGAGCATGTATTTACAAAACCCAACATCTCTATATATACACACACAATGAGCCGTGAAGGCAGCATCTGCTAATGAACCAGCCGTTACACTTGAGTGCACACCCACCCGCTCTGACTGGGTTCGGTATCCCGGCTGCTTCGTTTCGAGGGAGGTAAACCCAAGTACAAAATATTGCACTTTTGATTTGCGATTATACGCTTATAATTTTGTTTATTTGTTTTTTCATAATCAGCAATGCATATTATATTTCATGAAGAAGTGATAATTGTGTTTTAATTATGTTTGATTTTTTTGGTTGCATGTGACCTTTAACTTTAGATAAATACCAAAATAAAAGTCATTTCTGTACATGTATATTGTCTGGATTTACACATTGTATTGAACATATTTACTAATAAATAATGTCAACGTATATTTTTCATGAAGAAGACGCGTCTTCCATTTAATATATCTTGCATGTTACCTTGTCCGAAATAAAGCTTGATATGAAAACACCACGAAAATAGGTGACGAGACAGTATTAGAAGAAACAATGTTAACCTATTTGGCACCTTTTTTCGGAGAACAAAAACACAGCTTGACAGAAGGTTTAGATTGTACATACGCAATACCTCCTGTGCTGTTGGAACGTGTATTACACTCAGTAGAGATTATTTACACATTCTTTCGTTTTCGATTCTACCAATTGTGAACCAACAAGTACCTTTTCTCGTCGCTTAAGTTCTCGGCAGAAGAAGCATCTTTTTCCTCGATGTGCTTAGCAGGGTTTGCCTCAGCTTTTTCATCAAAGACATCAAACAAATCGTCTCCAAAGGAATTTGCCATCGTTTATTTTGGTGACAAATTTTACCATGTGGAGAAAACGGAAGTTGGAACGATTTAGTGCTGAACTAATGCGTGATGTTCCTAAAATGCAAAATGCATTATGTTAAGTGAAATCATGTATAGAAAACTGTCATACTGCCCACATTATCTACATACATGTATCATATAGTTCTTATGAGACAATTATTGGAATCGATATACCTCATATTTAAAAATATGATTGAACATCACTTGTACAATAACAATGGCGGACACCGGGGTGCTTGCGTGGATATCTGTGATTGTTGTCACCTGTCTGACACTTTCTAGGGCGAACCAATATGCCAGAGGTGCGTATTTGTAACATGTATTTAAAAACAAATCCGCCAAGCGTTTAATAACTTTTGCATTTAAATTTATTGTTAAATCGGAGCAGTTTCAAATGTGACATGACTGTATGGTAAACGTCATCACTACCATAAAAATATAAGGTGTCATGTCAGACTGATAGCCACGTTTAAAATGTGTATATTATCAGCTGAATTGCACGAGTAATTATGAACTGACTTTTTCTATTTTACATTAAAAAATGTTAATGTTAAAACAAAGTCATTTTCAATATACGTAGGAGGAAAATTCGTGTTTTGTCATTGTTTTGTGGATATACACTGCTGAACTTCACCCCTTTATAGTATCAAGTAATGCAATTACCAGCTTATTGATCAGCCTCAAGTAAAGCAATTATCAGCTTATTGATCAGTTGATTACATGACATTGCTTCAATCGGCAAACAATTTCCTTCCTGGTGATTGCTATTTGTAATCTCTTGAGAACCTTGACATGTTGACACCTATATTCTAAGTATCAATCTATAAATTCTTAACAATATGAAACAAATTATAACTTACCAGCTGTCACAAAAGTAATTCAAAACAATGAATAGAAAAAAGTCACAACTGGTGTGTGTTTTTTTCTGGTGTACATTAATCATTTCATAGAAATATTAAATGGACTTCAGCATTGTGAAATAAGGGATTATGCTGGTGGTAAACTTTACAGTATACACTATTAGTGGAATAGGTAGATAATAAATTGATAAATTAATTAAACCATAAAACACATATACTTTTCCACTGTCTATGATCTAAAGTACTGTTTCTTGAAGAACTGTGGGTATCTTTAAAGAAAACGTTTATATATCTCATGAGCTGTACTGTACTTACTCAACAACTTCCCAAGCAGTTTCGTGAAAATAGCACTTGTGGTCACAAGGTATTCTATGCTGTATCACAGTACAGATCCTTAGAGAGTATGTCATCCTTGTTACATGTGCAGGTGTTTAACATCTTTGCTAGTCCTGTCCAGATTGTTATGGTATGTTGTTAATATGGTTCATGACATTCTTCCTTCGTGTACAGGATGGGGTGATCACTTTGACTGGGTGAACTTACAAGATGGATTGGCAAAAGCTAAGGAACAGTAAGTATTTCATCAAAATGGTGTTACTGGGTTTTTTAAATACAGTTACAAAATACTTTGCATATTGAATATAATGTATCACTATCAGTGTAAGTTACACTTACTGAGAAAGTGTTATCCTAAAGATAACACATTACACATTCAAGTTAGTCTAATAAATAGTGACTATCTGCTGTTATCCCAAATATACTATATATGTGTTATCTTTAGGATAACACTTTCTCAGTAAAGTACAGATTTGAAGAAATAGAAGTGACAAAACCCTTTCCACATTCATAAGAAATCTCTGCCCAAAGCGAGTCAATTGTACAATTGTGACTACTAGTATATCATGAGCAGATATTGGTTTCAGCAGTATTGCAGCTGTATGATGTTGTTAGGGTCTGAACCAGACAATCCAGTCCCATCCAAACCTACAGCTTTCACAAAAACTGGAAGTCAGACACTTGGTGTCATCACTGATGTCTTCAATCCATTGATATTTGTTTATCTCTACTTTCCCTATGTGTGATAGATAACCAGGACTGATTGTTATCTTGTGTTGAAGTTTTGAACCTACTAGGTAGATTAAAGATAAAGCATAAGTTTAGAAGAGACCTGCTTTCTGCCAGTACAATGTATGACCAATATGAAAGAATATTATCTTTAATTTTTTGTAATTACATTGCAGGAACAAACCGTTGATGCTTGTTATTCACAAGTCTTGGTGTGGTGCTTGCAACGGTAGGAATACATTAATCATGTGGAGGATGGTCTTTTCTCATTATTGTGTATTAAGGCTGCTTTGAATACAATTACAGGGGCTTGTAACGCTAAAAACTGCCATCATTCCTGTATAAAAGGGTAATATATATTTTTATATATATAGTACTAAGACCCTGTTAGTGACCGAATATAACTTGATGGCAGTTTGTAGCGTTACAAGCCCCAGTGAATACAATAATGTTGGACTGGGTAACAAGTGGCTTTGGGAGTCATGATTATAATATTAACCCTTTTCAAAATTTGTTATATATCTTGGCCAAGACACACATAAACTTTGCAAGTAAGTCTGTATTTTCAGTTTGGTACATTGTACATAGTTGGAACCTCTTTGGAAGAAGCATTACTTTGTTCTCACTCATACTGATATTTTTTCTTCCTTTCAGCTTTAAAACCCAAATTTGCAGAAACGAAGGACATTTTTTCACTCAGTAAACAGTTTATCATGGTGAACACAGAGGTGAGTCTGTAAAATGAATTATACATATAATCTCATATTTTTATCATGGTAATGTTTGTTGAGTAACCTTCAGTGGGTTATATTAAGACAAACTTCAGCTTATCTCATATGTTGGGACACACAGAAAACACAATCAACTTCAGCCTAAAGTCAAGAAAGATATGTTTTTGACCATCTCCAAACACAGAAAATGAGATCTGAACCGTACAAAAACATTGTTGTGTTTGATGATCTCACGCCTCACTACTCTGAACAGCTTAATTGAATTTTCATGGCCATTTTGCTAAATTTTTACACTTATCTTATCTCACGGTTTGCACCTCTCTCTCTTCCTTCGACATTGAGTGGAATGACTGTAAACTTTTTCCCTTGGCCTCTCTTGTTCACTCGCCCATGTATCTCGTGCCGCTCTCGTTAATGGACAACTTACCACAGTCCATGCGAGGCATGCGAAACACTCCTCAGCTACCCACGTGACTACTGCTCACTCATCATTCTCTTTCTCATCGCGTCCCTGGTTGGACATACTTGTAAACATTGAATACTTCAAGTTCCCTTCCTGATTGTTTTGTCCACTATGGGGAAATCACAAGATAATAGTAAGCGCAACTTTTGCGCTCAATGTAAGAAGACGTTTTCGAGATTGGATCCGCACAGTTCGTGCTTGGACTGTGTAGGGTTATGCGAGGCTGATAATCGATGCAGTATATGTTCCCGGCTGTCAGATGAAGATTTTAAAGCATACCAACGGGTATGTTCATGTCGTTTAGCCGACCGGGTAAGGAATGCTTCCTCTGAATGTAGCCCATCGTCTGCAAAGAAAATTCGCATTCAAAGACCAACTTTAACCCGAAAAGCGGTTACTATCGCCTCCCTCAGGAGTGGAAGATTTCTTGGCCGTTTCGTCTGATTCGTACTTATCTGAAGACTTGAAGAAGTTGCTTGGCTCACATTCGTCTCCTCCGGAGTCTGTGTCCTCTAGAGTGGTGGTGATTGATTGACCGAATCTGCCTGATACTATTACCAACCCTACGGATCTTCGGATGACACTTTCTGCGTCTCGCTCGCCTACTTTATCCTTACAGATGGGGGGAGGAAGGAACAGCCGTGGTAGAGCAGCCGCCCCCCCCCCCTGCGAGTAGATTGAAGTCGGTTGTTATCCCTGCCACGCAGAGTACTTCTCGTCGTTCTAGGACTCCAAAGCGTTTGTCGCACAGTTTATCACGTTCAAGTTCATCTGACCATGCGGAACCGCCTCACTTCAAGCGATCTCATTCGCCTTGGAAGAATGGGAAGAAGAAATGCTGGCTCGTCTGATCGAATTGATCGAGTCATGCTTTGCCGAATGGTTCAGTGTCTCATCACCGAAGTGGTTCGGCACAACGAACTGGTTCACCGCAGTATGATCACCGTATGGACTCACCTCAGGTTGCTGTCCCTCCCATGTCTGAGTACTTTCAAAGAACTAATTCACGGCAGCGATCTGGTTCACCTCAGCCTTCCCGTGCCAGTTTGATAGGACGAATGGGTTCACCAATTCCTCGCCAACCACTTCTTCTAGCTGATCTAGATCACCGCATCAACAACGAACTAGTTCATCTTGCCGAACTGATTCAACTCGCAAACGCCTTTCCAGTTCTGCGAACCGATCTGTTTCACCTAGGTCTATGGAACCAAGTCGCCGAACTGGTTCAGCTAGCCGATCTGGTTCCCTTATGGGATTCACCCATACGTCATCATGTCAGGTCTCCCCATCGTACGGCAGTACCTCGTTCTGATTCTCCTGGTTATCATCATCGTTCCAGTTCATCTGGCAGAGGCACTTCACCACATCTGAGTGGTTCAAGTTTGCGAACTATTGTATCTCAGAATACCTCTTCAGTTCACACTGATTCTCATTACCGAACTAGTTCTTTTGATGCCCCTAGGAATCGGATCCTACATCATACTGGATCGTCTGGTCGAACTGCTTCTCATCCACCCACTACTTCGCCCGAACCGCTCAGAGTGTTATGGGACCCGGTTGCCTCACCATGATGTTTATCATTCACCCTCTTGTTCACCTCATACAGTGGGTACCAGGGTGCGTACTGACTCTAGCAGGTTGATTGGGTCTCGGCCCTCAGTTCATCTTCACTCGCCACCTGCGTCTCCCACGAGACGTCGTTACAGTTCGTTTTATAGACGTTCCCCCCGTCACCGTTTGATTGTTTCTGATTCATTGGTTGCTGCTCCAACTCAGATTTTACTGGAATCTTGGTCTCCATCTGGAGACACTGGATCTGGGCCGGACTTAAATATGATGCTAAGAGCTGTTATGGCAGCGTATCAACAGTTTCAACCTTCTCGTGCTGCTCAATCGTCATCTACTCCTGTCGGGTC